TTCACGAAATTCTGGACCAGAACGACCCGTTCTGAAATCAGAATAGCCCGTTCTGGTTACACTGTTAATGTGTTAATTTGGCATCTAGAACGGCTCGTTCCAGATACAAAATTTACACACCAATAGTGTAACCAGAACGGGCCGTTCCAGTTTCAGAACAGGCCGTTCTGGTTCAAGGTGTATTCAAGTAATTTGAGCTCCACCTACGTGGCATCTACGTGGCATCCACCTGTCATCCACGTGGCCACCAGTTAACTCCGTTTAAATCATTTAGACGGAAGTCCCAAATTGCAATGATTTAAATTATTGGGGACCAAATTGAGACCTAAAATTAAAGTGAGACTAAATTGAAACAAAAAAACATTGTAAGGGACCAAAAGAGGTATTTAACCTACAATGATCTATAAAAAGTAAACAAAGTGCCTCACAAATACAAAGGCAAAAATATACCTATACAAGTAACTACTATATTTACAAACATATGGAAAGTCTTCTAAATCATCCCATTCCTCTTAGTTCCTTTAATGTATCACCTCTTGGCTTCCATGGCCTTGACATATTTCCATCACTCTTTTTCTTCATAATAGAAGCTCATTTCTTTGTTTGCAGGTCCGAACAAAATTAGGTGTCTACACCCCTGCCATATGGGCTTGGGTTGGGTGCACAAGTGTACCATCTTGGATTATATCTGAGATCACTACAAGAAAAATCAGTATTACTTACGAAAATTTCCATAGATAATCATGAAAATTCATAGGTAACTGTCAATTATCTACAAATTATCTACGGAAAAAAAAATCCATAGGTAATAAGGTGATAGGTAACGTTATCTACGGAATGTTATCTATGGAATTTTCGGTAGATAACTTTATCTATGAAATTTTTCGTAGATAACGTTACCTATGAAATTTTTTCGTAGATAACCCACGAAAGTTGTTATCTATGGATTTTATCCGTAGATAATTTTCAGAAATTTTTTGTTTAATTGTAATAAATTTATTAATGTAACAATCCTTATATTTGGCCTCTCAAGGATGTTATTTCATGACACTTCACTTTTCAACGTGTTTTGTCCTTACTGCACATTTTCTATGAAACTTCCTAGAAGGTCACCCATCCTTATACTACTCAAAGTCAAGCACGCTTAACTGTGAAATTCTGATGAGATAAGCTACCGAAAAGCAAATGAATGTTATCAGTATAAGTAGCACAAATTAATTCATTTAAGTTATCCTCAACTATACAATCTCAAACTTATACTATTATTATTATTATTATTATTATTATTATTATCATTATTATTATTATTATTATCATTATTATTGTTATTATTATTATTATTATTATTATTATTATTATTATTATTATTATTATTATTATTATTTGTGGGTTATCTACGGAAAATTCCGTAGGTGACATTACCTACGAAAAATTCCATAGATAACACCTATCGTGGGTTATCTACGGAAAATTCCGTAAATAACGTTACTTACGGAATTTTTCGTAAATAACCCACGAAACTTATTATAATAATTATTAAGCTTAATTGCGTTTTTGATCCCCCAAGTATTGCAATTGTGCAATTTTGATCCCCAAAGTTTTAATTTGGTAATTTTACTCCCTAAAAGATTGTAATTATGTGATTTTAGTCCCTTAATTTTTAATTGAACAATTTTAGTCCCTAAACTATTATAATTGTGCAATTTTAGTCTTTTTTATTTAAAATTTAGTAATTTTAGAATATATATATATATATATATATATATA